GAGTTGGCCCAGCTGCAAATAAACAGCAGTCCCCCCGCCTCCCCTGGCCATCGCCACCTCCTCCGCCCCACTGCGCATGCCCCGCTCGCAATCGCCTCCACCCCCCAATCCCGGGACCGGCGCCGCTTTCGCCCCCAGGTCCCGCACCCTCCCCGCGCGCCCCGGCTGGTCGCGCGCTCAGCCCGCGGGCGCCGCGGCGCCGGGGGGCGAGAGTCAGCGCTCAGGTGGAGCGGGGTCGCCGCGCGGGGCTACCCGGAGCGGCGGGGAAGGGGCATCCGGGGTCCTGTCCGCTGTGCCCGAGATGCTCTCCGCCTCCCAACATGTACCCCAGCAGGGTCCGGGGAGGGCCTCCTGGTGGGCACCTCCAGGCCCCGGGCCAGGACGGGCTTAGCAGGTGCTCAGCCTGAACCCCCCGCCCGCCCTCAGGGAGGGAGCAGTGGCTGCCGCCGCCCGGGACGTCCCCGACTTTTCAGCACCCCGGACAACAGCAGGGGTGGCCCGCGGGCCACGCTCTCCCGCCCCGCTTCGCGCTCGCGTCCCGTCGTCCCCTCCGCGGTCTCCTTCCCGGGCTTTCGGTCCCCACCGCCCAGCGACCAGAAGTTGCAGCCTCCGGGGGTGGAAACCACAGGGAAATGGAGCTTCTGAAGCATCTTTCTGAAAACCGAGCGAGGGTCTCCCTGGCGGGGGCGTCTCCTGCCCGCCCTGCCCCGGTTTGTTCCGAGGAGCCATCGGCTCTTTTCCTTTACCGCCCATTGCTCTGCTCGCCCTTATAAAGTCTCAGGTTCGATTTTTGGTTTGGGTTTGGGCTCCGAATTGGCTTCTGAAATATTCCTCCTCGTTTTGTTTTTTACTACGGTTCTTAAAACAATCTGGGAGATGCCAAGCAAATTACTTTTTCTTCCCATCTAAGAGGGTCACTTGGGTCTGATTATTTCCTACGCTGTGAGCGTGTTTGAACTCTTCCTGCTAAGTCAATACGATTTAAAACAAAAACAAAAAACCAAACTGCTTTAAGGCCTCTGGCTTTGGCTTCCCATCTTCCAGTTTTTCTGAACGGTTGTTTTCTTTTTTAAAAAATACTAATTATAATATGTAAATAAGCTAAGTATACCGTTGAGATGAGGATCAGTAGAATTTGTCCAGGTTTGAAAAATCTGTTAACTCTTTGAGGCCCTTGTAAATTTCTATTGGTGTGTGTTATTGAAGTTACCTGGAATCTGATACATCCAGATAGAGAAACTTAAAATATATACAAAATTCGCCATATTATTATCATCCTTCCAAAATCCTTAAGAGTTTTGATGATCTAAAAAAAAAAAGAGTAGAAAAAAAGGCAGAAATTACTCTTATACTGACTGAATATTTTTGTGACTCTTTACGACACCAATTTATTTCTTAAAAAATTTAAGATATACCCGAGCAGTTGAAAACTCAATGAAATAAGACGAATATATTCCAAGTCAGGATGTTTTTATCCATTTCACTTTGTTTTTTAGTGACTTGGAAATTAGTGACTGAGAAATGTATTCATCCTTGCATCAAAACTTTTTAACCCTGGGTAGTTTTCATATCCAGACCCTACACACACCTGGGTCAACCATCTCCCCAAAGAACACACTACAGCCTTTCTTCTTCACCTGCCCATTAACTTAATAAAAATATACGAAAGTATATGTTGTGCTACAATATGCTAAGTACTGGGCTGGATGACCAAAGCCGCTCAGATTGTGTTATGTGTGTAAGTGTGTGTGTGTAAGATTAATACCATAAAAGTCTAACAACCTTCTGAGTTAACAGCTGACTAAGACAGTGAATTTGTCCTTGCTGAAATGATAGTAGGTGTAATAAGCCAATGTATCAGTCCTTACCTACAATTAATAGAGGCTTTCTTGAGACAATATCTTACTCCCAAAGAGTGCCTCTAATTGTAGATTTTTAAAGAGAGCAGGCCTTTTCTCCCTTAAATCACCCTGTAGGAGGCACAGCTTGCCCACCCTGTTCTGTTCCGAGTTGTTATCTTTTTTAGAAGAAAACACTTATCAGAATTCTCCATGACGATAGAGAGAAATGAAGAAGGACAAAGCTGGACTCCAAAAAGACAATAAAAGGGAGAAAAGATGAAGGAAACCTCTAAGTGGGATTCCAGGTTTCTGAGCACAGAGAGTTTCATCAAGATTTGCTGTAGATTGACTGGCATCTCCATTCTATTTAGTTCGGATGATGAATTTGGGATGAATGTACTTTAAAATAATGAGATAACTCAAGTCCTCTCAAGGACAAAGTAATAAGTAACTAATTTTTAAAAGTAAACAGTTCCTACCATAGGACCCAGCAATTCCACTACTGGGCATATACCCTGAGAAAACCATAACTCAAAAAGAGTCATGTACCACAATGTTCATTGCAGCTCTATTTACAATAGCCAGGACATGGAAACAACCTAAGTGTCCATCGGCAGATGAATGGATAAAGAAGATGTGACACATATATACAGTGGAATATTACTCAGCCATAAACACAAACGAAATTGAGGTATTTGTAGTGAGGTGGTTGGACCTAGAGTCTGTCATACAGAGTGAAGTAAGTCAGAACGAGAAAAACAAATACTAACAAATGCTATATAGGTATGCTAACACATATATATGGAACCTAAAAAAATATATGGTTCTGATGAACCTAGGGGCAGGACAGGAATAAAGACACAGACATAGAGAATGGACTTGAGGACGTGGGGAGGGGGAAGGGTAAGCTGGGACAAAGTGAGAGAGTAGCATTGACATATATACACTACCAAATGTAAAATAGCTAGCTAGTGGGAAACAGCTGCATAGCACAGGGAGATCAACTTGGTGCTTTGTGACCAGCTAGAGGGGTGGGATAGGGAGAGTGGGAGGGAGATGCAAGGGGGAGGGGATATGGGGATATATGTATACATATAGCTAATTCACTTTGTTACAAAGCAGAAACTAACAGCATTGTAAAACAATTATACTCCAGTAAAGATGTTAAAAAAATAATAAAAAAATAAAAGTAAACCATTCCTTTGCAGCCCCATCATTTCCTGATCCAATACGGTTACAGAAAAATAGTGTGAAAGTATTGATGTCAGAGAGAGAAGGTCTACACTGATATGCCACCTCATTATCCCTCTGCTTAAGGTGTAAAGCACTCACCTTGCCTAACAAAGAGGCCCCAAAGCAAATTAAGTTAATTCTTGTTACTTTATCTCTGATTATTTTTAAAGGATTTATAATTAGAACAATAATACCTTCTAAGACACCTTTTATCCCCTCAGAGCAATTTAAAACATAAATTATTATGAAGGTCTTCTCTGAGGCTTATACAAATTAATGTGGACCATAACTCTGAAAGAAATTAGGACACAACTAAAAATAAATCAAGGGCAAGTAGATAACTTAATAAAACAAATTTAAAATTACTGCCCACTGCAGTTTCAGCCCAATACACCCTGTTCAGGTAGAAACTGTTGACTGAAGTAAACACTCACAATGTGAGAGCTGTGGGGGTTTTTTTGGTTTGTTTGTTTTGTTTTTTTGCGGTATGCGGGCCTCTCACTGCTGTGGCCTCCCCCGTTGTGGAGCACAGGCTCCGGATGCGCAGGCTCCGGATGCGCAGGCTCCGGATGCGCAGGCTCAGCGACCATGGCTCACGGGACCAGCCGCTCCGCGGCATGTGGGATCTTCCCGGACCGGGGCACGAACCCGTGCCCCCTGCATCGGCAGGCGGACT